GCCTAAGGGAAGTTGCTAAGTCCTAAGTGGCTACTGGGGTCAGATTTTACAGTTGGGGTTGTGGGAGAGAGAATCACATTTATTGAGGTCCTGCTCCTATTCCGTTCTGGTTCAGGAGCCTTGATCTCAATGAACCCTGGGAAATAGATGTGATCATGCCCATTTCAATGGTGAAGAAACTGAGGCTCAGAGATTACCAGCTGAGAATGGCAGAGTCTGGAACCTCCCCTGGTTCGTCCGGGCTCTTCGCCCTCCCTCGAGTGGCATGCACAAGTCTGGTTTATAACCAATGCCCCTTTGCATTGTCCCCATCACCAAAGGCTTGTGAGGCCCATAGAGCTAAACCCACATGCTCTGAGGGAGCATAAGCCATGCCTTGCAGGTGGACCTTCACAGTAGAGGGCCATGCATGCAGAGTCAAGTGCACAAATACCAGCAGCGAAACGAATAATCCAGGTCAAAATACAGAAATTAAAGAATTAATTCTATTTCCTTGGCCTGACCTCTTTGTCTGAACCTGTGGTCCTGATAAAGTTTGTTTATTCTTCTGTTTATTAGCATTAGCTTACTTATGAGCATATAGAAATTCAGATTATGTAAATATATATATTCAGATTTCTACAGGATCTCCTGCTCGATTGATTAGAAACAAGGATACATTTGCTGCTTTCTGCAGCGCCTGTCTCAGGGGAGGCTTCTCCTCTTTGCATGTGTAATTTCCTTCTTTCCTGTCTTAGTCTTAGAGCAGGGAATTGTGTCAGTTTTGCAGACAAGCAGCCGTCTCAGAGAGGTCAAGTAACTTGCCTGAGATCTCTCAGGAGTGAGAGCGGTAATTCAAACAGAAGAGCCCTGCCCACATCCCTGGACAGCAAGGGGCTATGACCCTGGCCCTGTTTATTGGCTTTCCCATTGATCTTACTTACACTTAGAGGACCTTAAAAAAAACCCTCTTATTGTGGAAAAGCCCAACCCTATAGAACATTGTAGACGGAATAGTAAAACCTAGAGGTCCCTTTAATTCAACCCAGAATCGGTTGCCCTTAGAGCTGCCACAGGCCGAGGACACTGAATGAAAGGGAACCGCGAACTTGCAGTTTCCTTTTCTCTTTTAAACCAAAAATATATTCAGGACACATTTTCAAATCATTGACGATTTTTAGGAAGATTCTCTTTTTTGGAAGGAAAAAGGTACTCTTGTCTTTTTAATTGTTCTTAGTGTTCTTTGCTACCAATCATGATACTCTTTGTGGAAAGTATTAATATACCGTCTTCCTGTGTTCAATATTCCCATTAACAATAAAAAGTCTAATGAAAATGTCTGAGCACGATATTCAGAGACAAATAGAAGATGAACCCTGTCTCTTCTGAAAGGAATGATGCAAATTAATTGATATCTTAATTAGGCTTTAGCATGAAGATTATTAGATTGAATCAGAACTGAAAAACATCTTAAAGGAAAAGCTGAGGACGTGGCCCAGGGGAGAGAAAGATATTATGTGTGCCAGTGCTCTCTGAAAGTCTCTTTTGCTCAAGGAGAGATTTTCAAAGAGGGGGATGGAAGTCTAGTCCTTCCCCTGAGCCAATGGGCGCCTGCAGGTGTAGGAAGTTTGCCCGGCGTGAGCCCCGTGCTGCTGCCTCCTGCCCCTGCCTCACCTGAACAGCAGCCCTCGGAGTACAGACACATCCCCTCCTTCGATTGCCTCTGTAAGCCCAGTACTAGCACAGCCCCTGACTTCCAGCCACAATGATAAGGTCACAGCAAACAGGTATGTCGAGCTTACTGTGAGTTCTGAATACTGTTCTAAGCACTTGATTTAAATAACTCGTTTAAGCTTCCAAACAACAGTGTGAGGCAGGGACTACTGGTATCCCCACTCGACGAGCCAGCAGACAGACACAGGTTGAGCAACTTGCCGCCCGCAGTCATATGGTTGATACGGGTGGATTCAGGTGGGGACGACAGCAGTCTGGCTCCTTGCTCTTACACACGATGCCACAGCAAGTAATGGTCAATCCATTTTTGCGGAGTGAAAGGGGCAATGTGTACCTCAGATGCATAGTTCCTACTGATGGACTTCACTCAAATTTTTAGTTTTACTCATGGACTACTCTGCCATAGACCCTGCCAGCCTCTGTGTGTGTGTGTGGGCGGGGGGGGGGGGGGGGGGGGACGGCGGGGGCGGGTGTGGATGCTCCCTGTATTGAACTGGTTGCTGTCTTGTTTCAACCTGAAAAGACAGACCCTACTGAGGGACTGCCCCCGGCATGGCCCAGTCCATCACCCAACTAGGCCAGGACCCTAACGTCCAGGCCCACCAAGGCTCCACCAAGTCTGCTTCTGTGGCCACTATGGACCGCAGAGCACTGTTGCTCCACGTGTGCAGTGCTTTATGGCTGCCTTATTGCTGGGCCACTTACTGCTGAGGGGAATGACAACATGTAGGGTTTACCTCTATGGGGCTCACCCCATGAAGCTGGTCAGGTTGCTTCATTTACCAAGATAGCGTTTTCTGGGGAGGATGCCTGGATGCATCTCCCCATAAAAATAACCAGAAATAGGGCCCTGGGATGGGGAGAGGGGTGCGAGTAAAGAGACCAGTTTCCCATTTTGCGGGGGGCACGGGGGCATGCCCCTGCCACAGTGGAGCTGATAGAGGAGGTGTGCTGTGAACCCAAACCACAAGCATGGCAGGAAGGGCGGATGCTTGGAGTTGGGGTCCTGGATTGAAGACCCACCTCCACAACCCATCTCTAAACTGGGGATAATGCCCAGTTCACAAAATCATTATGAGGATCAAAAGGACGTTTCAAAGTGCCTTTGCTTTGAAAATTGCTCCACAAATGGCTGATATTAACGATGACCCAGGCATTCTGACACGGAACTCTTCCGTCTTCCTTCAAGCTGCTAAACTCCGCCTGGGTGCTTGTTAACCTCGGCTGCCGAGCCCCCTCTGCCTGCCTGCAGCGGTGCCCGGGAATCTGTGTTTGATAAGCTGACCCGAAGGTGCTCTAACTGTTGGAGATCACCCAGCAGCAGCTAACACCAACCCAAAGGAAGCACCTCTGAGTGTGATTAGAGCTTGTCCTCCTTTGGCCAAGGCCCACAGCCTGAGACCCAAAAGGGCCTGGTGTCCGTGGGCTTTGTGGCTGGCGGAAATTGTGGGCTGGTGGGCAGGCTAAGTGGATATAGCTGAGAGCTGCTCCTTCCTGCTGGCCCCTTGGATCGGGGAAAGTGGGTGAAAATGCGGCCGAAACCCAAGCCTTCTCCAGCCTGAGCGGGAAGTCAGAGGGCTGTGCCGGGCAGGTGCCCTTGGTAAGCTCTGCGGCTTAGCAGCCTTGCCGACAGCTGCCGCCTGCCAGCTACCACCTGCTCTGCTTCTGAGCTGGGCTGCTGAGGCAGAACCTATGTGTACACCACAAGGCTGTGTGAGAGAACTGTCTTGAGTGCGTATTATGGTGAGGGGAATGGGCAGGGGGACTTCAGGCTTAGGAGAGAGGCAGCCTCAATGCTGAAATTATTTCATCCACAACAGCTTCTGATTTCTGGCCTCAGAATCGCCCCATGAACCATCTTAGAGACAGCCGTGTGTGGTCAGCCCCTTATGACCACCAACCTCAGAGGATGGCAACGCTCTAGATTGGGGCAAGATCCAGTCTCTTCCTTTTGTGCCTCAGCTCTCCTCCCTCCCCTGACGGCACAGATCTCCCCGAGCTCTGCCCCTTCAAATGCTTATGGTGTTTCAGGGCTCCTCAGCAGGCCGAAGGGTGCTCGGCTGGGCCGTGTGGAGCACCCGAACATCCTGTGACGGGTCTGTGGCCACTGAGCAGGGCTGGTTGCCAGGGTAATTCCCCCCCAGCCCCCTACTCCAGTGGCAGTGAGACCTCTTGCCATGCTCAGGCATGCCAATAGCTAGTTCAGACGGATGCCCCTTCCTCTGCCCCATAGCTCTAGAAGGAAGAACACAAGCTCCTTAGGGTGTCCTTTATGTTCTCCGAATGCTCACAGTATGTCTCACTGGGTCATCACGACAACCTCCTCGTTTGATGGAGATGGAATGCCCAGAGGGCTTCCGAGTGACTTGATGGTGGTCATTGAGTTGGGAGCCAGCCAAGCCTGAATCCAAACTTTGTCTTTCCCACCATCTTTTGGGGTTAATGCCTCTGTACACTCTATGCAAAGGTCTTAGGTGGGCTTTCTAGGCAGAGCTGCGTGAACGCTTGAAGCTAATGTGGATTTGCCCACAGCGCACTGCCAGGTGCTCATGCATAGAAGGTTCAGTGGTCAAATGAGGTTGGAAAATAAATGCATATTATATAGTGCATGTTAGGATACTGAAAGCTCTAAGAAGCCCCTCAGTGAGCTTGTCTGTCATTAGAACCTTCCCTCCACCCATCCCCACAGAATGCCCATTGACAATCTACCAGATTTGAGCTCTTCAGACCTACACCAGAATGTGAGCCAGGCTCCTTCACAAATGTGAGGGCAAAGGGACGAAGATGAGGGGAGGCCATTTGTTTCTGCACAAAGAAAGGAAATGTCTGCCTATCAGGAGGAGGTCCTGCCAGATGCTCCCCACCAATTCTACCACCTGGACTGCACAGAATCACCCTATGCCCCCGAACCCAGGCCCTGGCAGTGGGGTGCCAGAGCCAATTGATAGATTTTCAGAAATTGTGTGAGTCAGTCCTTAATTCATCAGTAGCTTGAAATTGGCTATGGTGGGAGTATTTGCACTATAGAATTCAGCAAATGCTACAAATTGGGGCCCCTCCCCCTGTTATTCTAACAGCCTATTTGCCTGTGCACCACTGACCCTGGGACATTTTTGAAATTGTTAGAAAACTTGACAGCTAGGAGCTGGGGGGTGACCTGATGCAGAAGTCCTTGAACAACAGAGTCCTCAACCCTTGTGAAATGAGAACTGAGAACCGCAGAGAATGACAACAATCTTCCAGCCATAATCCCCAGTGAATCAGAAAGCGCCTCTCGGCTGGCTTACTTTGATATCTGTCACCAGCCAATGTCTCCAGAACCGAGCTTGGGGCGAAGACCTGCTAGGGGCATCGGGATCCACCATTATCAGCATGTAGGTTGCACTCTGTAACACATTCACCAAAAAGAAATGCATCGTTATGGCATATAGAATAGTGATGGGAAAACTACCAGATGCAGACCATCTTTTGTCTCTATTCTCACCTATAATGGCTGACCCACCCCTATAACTTCCTACCTAGGTCATCTTGGTTCTCATGACTTTCCTCTTGTGCCTCATGCTTGTGCTCAGAGAAAAGAATTTCACTAAGAAGACAGCTTAATAAGTTGGATTTCCCGGTATGAAAAGGAATAAATCAAACACGCATATTTGCTAAGCACCTGGAAACCCCTAGCGTCATGCTAGGTGCTGCGGAGGAAACAAAGGAACCTAAAACAGGGCTTGCTCTCAAGAAGCTCACAGACTTATCTATTAATTCAGCAAATATAGGAGATCTTACTCTGGGTCAGGAACTGTATTGCAAGGAATACTTGGACTCATCCCTTCAACAAGCATTCACTGAACACCCACTATGTGCCTGCAACTGTTCTAGGTACTAGGATTCCAACAAATAACAAGACAGTAGGGTCCATACTTTCAGGAAGCTTTTATTCTAGGTAAGATATACATATTTTAAAAATACACACCCAAACAAACAAACAAAACCCGAGGAAATGTTAAGTTTGATTAGTACTATGATTAATAAAATAGGGTAGAGTTAGAGGGAGTAAGCATTTCAAGAAGAGGAAATAGCTGCTACCTAGGCCTTCAGGCAGAAAAAAGTTAAGGTTGGAGGAACAGAAAGAATGCCATGTGGCTAGTGGCAAGCGAAGGTGTGTATGTGTGTGGACATGGCAGGGTTGGAGAGGTGGATGGAGCAAAACAACAGAGGGCTTCGTGGGCCTGGATGAGGACGGGGGTTAAGTGCAATGCAGAATCATTGGAAGGTTTTAGTCAGGAGACGAAAGCAGGAGAATGATGTGCTCTGATTTCCATTTTTAAAGGATTGTTTTGGTGGCTGTGTGGAGAATGAATGGTCGGCAGGAAGCAAGAGGGGAAGCCAGGAGGCCAGTTTGGGGGCTACTGCAGTAGTGTAGTGTGGGATGATGGCATGTTGGACTAGGATGGCAGCAATGGAAGCAGGTAGATGGATTAGGGAAGTATTTTCAGGTAGAATCCAAGGGATTTGCTGATGAACTAGATAGTAGAGCAGTGAGGAAGGGGTGGGGGAAGAGAAATCAAGGATGATACCTGAGGTTTTGGCTTGAGCAACTGGGAGAATGGTACTATTTAATGAATAGAGAAGGCTTGGAGAGAAGAATGTTTGAAAGGGAACATCAAGAGTTCTGTTTTAGACATGTTATTTCTGCCATTTGTTTCTGCAGCTTGAAATTGGAGTAGCTTGAAATTGGCTATGGTGGGAGTATTTGCACTATAGAAATCAGCAAACACTACAAATTGGGGCTACAATTTAACTTAATTGTGCAGAAACTTAACTGATTGTTAAGTTAGAAATGCTTCTTAGAGGGCAAGTATATAAGTCATAGTCTGGAGTTTGGGGGAGAGTTCTGGACCAGATATATAAATTTAGGAGTCATTAACACATAGATGGGCCTAAATCCATAGAATCCAATGAAATTATTCATGGAAAGATCAGACATGGAGAAGAAAAGAGGTCTTATGACTGAACTCTAACAGAGAAGAGAAGAGAAGAGAAGAGAAGAGAAGAGAAGAGAAGAGAAGAGAAGGAAAATTAAACAAAGGAGACCAGGGAGGTATAGGTAATAGTAGGTATCATGAAATCTGCAACAGGAAGTGTTTTAAGAAGGAGGAAGTGGTCAACTGTTCCAAATGCAGCTGAAAGGTAGAGCAAGCTGGAGACACAGTTGTGACAATGTGATTTGATAACTAGAAGACTGCTGTTATCTTGGCAAGACCAGTTTCAGTGGAGTAGAAGGGATGGAGGTTTGATTAGAGATGAGGTGGGAGATGAGGAATTGGAGATAGTTATTCAAGATGATTTTTGAAAAGTTTTGGTGTGAAGGACAGCTGAAACATAGAGTGGTTCTTATTAGTAGGGAGAAAGAGGCAAAAGACCTGCTTTATCTTTATTCTTGTATTTTAAGAGACAGATGACAATGAGGCAGGCTTGCAGGCCAATGCAAATGATCCAGTAGAAAGAGAGATGTATATGCTAGAGAAGAAAAAGGAGACCACTGCAAGAGCCAAGACTGGGAAGTGGGAGGGGACAGGACACAGAGAAAAAAGGGGAGAGCTGGGCCTTTGGTGGGAGCAGAGGATACAGGGAATTGGAAGATGTGGTAGGGAGTGAAGACATTGTCTTCTGGTTGCTTGTATTTTCTCAGTGAATTAGTTGCAAGATCATCAGGGGAAGAGGAATTTGAGGAAGTCTGAAGAAAGAGGGGAAGGTATGAAAGAGTGAGAAATAGTTGGAAAGTGAGAAGCTGAATATACCATAGGTATATAGTAAGGTTACTAGGTAATATTACATGCCCCAGATGTGTACTTTTTAACTGTTCAGTGCAGGCATGGAATAAGTGGTAGTTGGGTTTAACTTGAATAGAAACTTAGACCGGTGAGTATACTGGAGAGAAGGGTGCGTGAGAGTGAGAAGTGAGCAAGATAGATAGAGGAGTCCTGGGCCTCCTCTTGATCTGGAGGGAGAGACAGACAGACATAACTGCAGTTCCCGCGCAAAGTGCCTGAGTAAAGGAGCATTTATCAGATACAGCTGGAGCACAGAGGAGGGATCCTAAACCTCTCCACCTCAGGAGTCCAGGAAGGCTTCGTGGAGTTGTCTTTTGAACTTGATCTTGAAGGACAAGCAGTATGCAAAGGGAAGGGGCTGTGCAAAGCTGACTGGGGGATGGTGAGAGTCTTGTGCTGGAGCATAGGGTGTCTAGAAGGAATAGAGGGTGAAAAAGTAGAAGGGTTATTGGAACCAGATAACAGAAAGCCCTATCTGTTTGGAATTTGTTTTGCAACAGAATCCATTGAAATTGTTTGAACAAACAACTGGCATGACTAAATGTGTTTTGGGAAGGCATGAGACAAGAATAAAAGTAGAGTGGGGAAAGAGACAACTGGGTGCTCTGGAGATCCTGAGGGCATGAAGAGTCAAGTAGGAGAGAGAGAGAGAGAGAGAGGGAGGGAGGGAGAGAGAGAGAGAGAGAGAGAGAGAGAGAGAGAGAGAGAGAGAAGAGGCATTTGTACCACTAAGTCAACAGCATGAAGTGACTGGATAGGGCAGACACACACGGGAGAGGGAGATGTCTAGGATGCTGCTGAGGTTCTACCTTGGGCAACTAAGTGGACGATGGCACTGTGAATAGTAGGAGTAACACATTTGGGAGACAGTGGGTTTGGTGTTAAAACATCTAGGCAGGGATGTACCTTAAATGGAACTATGAGGCTGGAACTCTCTCAAAACCTGGCCTGTGGGTGGTGGGCGTAGGGGTGGATGAGATTGTCAGTGAGAACTTGAAGAGCGAGAACAGAAGAACAACTAGAGTGGAACTTGGGAACTCAGAGGGGAGAATGGAGAGACTGAGGAGGAGAGTTAGAGGGAGAACCAGGGAGCACAGTGGCATGGATGCCGAGAGAAAAGGAAGTTCCAGGAAGGAGTGGGGATCAAGTCAGTATATCAGAACCATCAGGGGATAAGGACCATTGGTTTTGACAAGTGGGAGAAAGTTTGGCAACTTTCCAAAGATGAGTATTTTAGAGAAAAATGATTGTTGAATATTAAAATCCAAAAGAAGCAGTGAACCACATATTATATACTTTAGAACATTAAATCAGGGAATATGAAGATAAACCAAGAAAATCTTTAAAAACTCAGAAAAAAAGAATAAAGAGATGAAAATATTAGAAAAATTAGTTATTATTACTATTTTTTTTTGCAAATGACATGATTGTCTACATGAGAAATCCACAAGAATTAGCTGGAAACAATTAAACTAATATTCAGTAAAGTGAGTTGTTACAAAAGGAACACAAAATGAGTATTTCCTCCAGATAATAATGGCCTGTTAGAAAATATACTTTTAAAATTTTATTTAAAATTTTAATAAAAATATAAAATATCTAGGAATGAACTTGATGAAAAAATGCAAGACTTACACAGAAAACAAAAACATTACTAAGTGTACATAAAAACAAAACTTGATGAGTTGGAGAGAGACACACTATGCTTTTAAACTGAAATAATCATTAGCAAATTATGTCACTAGTTCTTTAATTAATTAGTCAGTTTAACACAATTCCAATCAAAACCCTAAATAGATGTTTTGGGAACTTCATAGAATGATTCTAAATTTCAGAATAAATGCAGAAAAACATTAGCCAAGGCAATATTGAAAAAAATGAGACGGGATAATGTTGACTTTGTAGGTATTAAAATATATTACAAACTAAAATAATTACAACCATGTTGTGCTGATTATGGAATAAATAAGCAAATGAAGCAAAATAGAAAATATGGAGAGAAACCAATGTTCTAAATATAGGTGTATTTAGGTGTATTTAATATGTTAGCAAATATATGATATTTATTATGTGATTAAGTTATTTCAATCCAGTGGGGAAAGGATAGATTATTTTACAAGTGCTATTGAGACAATTGGTTCAACACATGGAATAAATAAACTTCAGTCTCTATTTCTCTCAACCCCAAAATGTTCAAATTTAAATGTGAAAATAAAAAAAATTAAAAAACTGATTCAATAAAATTATAGTAGTTCCTATAATGGAATACCACATTAGAGTTAGAGCTTTATATTTTAATATGGGAAATAGTCACAATTATACTAGTAACTGAAATGAGTAAGTTTCAGAATAATTTGTATAATATAATCTAAAATGTGCAGGAAAACTTTATATATTTAACTATATATATACACTTATAAATATATTTGCAATGCATAGTATACACCAAACTGTTAACAGTAAGTGGCATGAAGGAAAAGATTGATAAATTTAACTAGATATAATTTTGAAACTTTTCTATGACAAATAAAGCAAAATAAAATTCAAAGATAATAAGC